GGACGCGCGACGCCGCGGCCAGGGCGCACTCGGCGCTCCGCTAGCGATGTCTGCGTGACGCCCCTCCCCGCCCCGAGCCGTTGGCGTCAACGTCTGCCGGAAGCGCCTCCCTCACGTGCGGCTCGTGGCGGTGGAGATCCCAGGTGAAGGCGGCGCGGGAACGCTGTCCGGACGCCCGCCGGCCCCGGAGGGAACCTCGCTGGAGAGGCCGGGTGCGAGGAGGGATCGCCCGCCGCCCCATCCGAGGGAATTCTCCCAGAGGGTTCCCCCAGCTGCGGCGAGAGCCCGGACCGGAGGGAGCTCCGCTCGAGAGAACCCCACTTTAGAGAGTCCGGCTTGAGAGCGCGCGCCCCGATATAAGGGATCTTGGGGCTAGGGCGTCAGAGAACCCCGATCCGAGCTAGTAGGATTTGAAGGTATCAATCTGGAATCTTCTTTTTAAAAGTTTCCTTTTTAATTTGAGTGTTTTGCCTGTGCGTGTCTGTGTCCACCTGCAGAGGCTGGAAGAGGGCGTTACCTGGGGGCTGTGAGCTACAGTGGGGTACGAGACTCGAACCTGACTTCTCTGGAGAAGCGTTAAGAAATCTTAACCAATGAGTCAGCCAAGTCTCCGGATCTAGAACAGTGGTTCTCATCCTTGCTAAAATAATGTTCCTACCCTTTAATACAGTTCCTCGTGATTGATGACCCCCAGCCATAAAGCCATCTCGTTTACCACCTCGTAACTATAATTTCCCCTCTGTTACGTTAGTGTAAACATCTGATAGGCGACCCTGTGAAACTGCTGCCCTAGCTCCTTCCGAGGGCGGGCGACGGCAGGAAGGGATGCATCTCAGTTCTGAAAGCAGGTAGTTGGCGCTCCACAGCCTACGGTCTCTTGTCTTGACACAGCAGTGTGGTGAATGTTTATCTTTTCTGAGCTAATGTGTTTAATGAAAATGACAAATTTTTATGACTTTGAGGAAACTCAAAAGCTTTGCGTGGGTTTCATAGTAATTGTAGGTTGTTAATGTATATACTTTCCCTTTGTTACTTAGGATTTTATTATAACATTTTTTTAAAATCGTGTATATGTTTTGTAGTCTAATGTAGCTCTGCATGTGTAAGAAATTACCTGTTATAGTAGAAATAACAGCATTTCTATTGAAATTAGTGCCTGTTTTGTTTGTCTGTTTGTTTATTTCTCATGCGTGCAGGAGCCTGGGGAGGTTAGAAGATGCAGAATTCCCTGAAATTGAGTTGCAGATAGTTATGAGCTGTCATGTGGGTGCCAGGAACTGAACTCAGGTCCTCTATCTATAAAAGTAGCAAATGCTCTTAACTGCTAAGCCATTTCCACCACCACAACACCTGATTTCTTTTTACCCTGGAGAAGAAGCATTACTTCAAGTATTGTATTGCTTGCTTATTTCCTTGCTTAATAAAGCTAATCCTAATACAATACATTTTAAAAGCTATTTGCCGAAACGTTTTTCAATCTTAACTCATGGATGGTGACTATCATTCTGTGAGTAGTTTACACACTCATTTGCCTTGTTGAATTTCTGTATATTCTAAGTGTGTGCTGTGTGATCACAGCGGTAGTAATTTATAATCATCTGCCTGTTTTTGCTGAAATACAGGTTCAAATTAAATATATATTTAGTTTATTTATACATATAAATATGTTTTATGTTATAGATATATAATAAATACACTATACTTATATAATTATGTAAATACATATTTATAGAATGTACTACTATATTTATATATAGATGTATAAAATTTTGAGACAGTGTCTCACTTTGTATCCTTGACTGGCCTCTTAACTCCTAGAAATCTGCCTGCCTTCTCTGTTTCCCAGTTGTACCCATATGTAAGGTATGTAGCGGGGATTGGAGAGATGGCTCAACAGTTGCGAGCACTGGCCACTCTGCCGAGGACCTGGGTTCTGTGTCTAGCACCTGCGAGGTGGCTAGCTCATACTGTCTGTACTCCAGTCTCAAAGGAGCTGATGCCCTCTTCTGGCTATCTTGGGCTCTTACATGCATACACTCAGACACATATACATAAATATTTTGTAAAGATAGTGTCATTTTCTGCTCCTGTTCAGTTAGACCTTATTATAATACTGTTTTCTCTTCTTTTTAACTGTAGAAGACGTGTAGCCATGGCTGCTGTTTATTCTGGCATTTCCTTTAAGCTTAAAAGCAAGACAACTTCCTGGGAAGATAAACTAAAACTAGCTCACTTTGCTTGGATTTCCCATCAGTGCTTTCTACCAAATAAAGAACAAGTAAGTTTAATATAGAACTTAGATTTTTATGATCTAAAATAATTACATATATGACTTGGATATTGACATTTCTTTAAAAGGTTAGAAGACAAGTTAGGGAGGAAACTTCACTGGAGCTAAAAGTAGTGAGATCTTTCAGGTTGTTAGGTTGAAGGTTGGGAAGATGGGGAGTGTAGTCTCTTTAGAAGGCCAAGCTAGAAATAGAGAAGAACCAAGTATAAGTTATAAGTAGATAATGTAACTGTAGTACGATGACAAGCTCATGGAGTTGGGTTGACATACATCCCAATGTTGGTTTTATTTTTTTTTTATTATTAGATTTTTGCAATGTTGGTTTTAAAGGAAGTACCACGAGATGTATCAAAAATTTATTATAATTGTTAGTCATAAGATGTGGTGTGTAGAACAGTTGACCTCTTATTTCCACACCTACTACACATTTGAATCAGCTTAGCAGCTTGGTGGTTCCCTGGTCAGCGCTGCACAATGTGAAACAGAAGGGCAATCGTGGCAGGCTTGTCCTTTTTCCCCTTAGCGTCGGTTGTTCTTCACACATTGACAGTTCTGGAGAGGAAAGCTCAGGGCTTGGGCGGAGTAAGCGTAACTCTATGTCATAGTGTTTGCCAAGCTTGCCTGGAGCCCTAGACTCCATCATCATCAACAGCACCACACAGTTTTGAGAGCTCAGGCTTTACCTTTTCTCAGTGTTTTGCGATTGAGTAAACATGTTGCCACGATGGAAACTGCATGTGCACAGCGCTCTTTCTCAGAAAGCCCCTGTGCATCACTTTGCCTCGCTTGTGACTCCTGAAAGAAGGTATACTGCATATGTCTTGTCTTACAACCACATTTTTTTTCTTACTCCTTATTTCCATTTTGATTTGCATATGTGATTCCTTCTGTGGACATGTGGACATTGTGTTTCTCTCTCTCTCTCTCTCTCTCTCTCTCTCTCTCTCTCTCTCAAAGATTTATTTATTATGTACACAGTGTACAGCCTCCATATATCCTGCAGGCCAGAAGAGGGCACTAGTTCTCATTACAGATGGTTGTGAGCCACCATGTGGTTGCTGGGAATTGAACTCAGGACCTCTGGAAGAACAGTCAGTGCTTTTAACCTCTGAGCCATCTCTCCAGCCCCATTGTGTTTCTCTTAAAAAAGGCCATTGAATAATGTTATTGCACTGAAATTTTTCATTGATTCCAGACTAAGGCAACATTGTTTTTCCTCTTTTATTCCTTAATAAACATTTCAAGATTTCATAACATACATTATTATTTAACAAACAAGTGAAGATTTAAAACAAATGCTTTCACTATACATCTTACGTTACCATTGAATTGAGATCTTTTGGCCACAGCTTCCTAAGTACTGATATTAATGCCATGTGTAACCATATTCAGCCTATTTGTTTCAAATAGGATCTTGCTATGTTGTCCAGTCTCTTCCTGATCTTATAGATGGAAGTGCTCTTCATGTTTCAGACCCAGTGGTAGCTGATACTGCAGACATGGTTTAAAGGAAAGCTGTTTTTGTTCTTGCAATAGAATTTTGTCATGGCTGGATGTCCGTATAATGCTTAAAATTTTTCTCCATGTAAGAAGTTCATTTTCACAGTATGTTTTCTACAAATCCAGGTTTTACTTGATTGGGCAAGACAGACATTGGTTGCATTTTATAATAAAAAACTCGAACTGCAGGAAGATATTGTTGAAAGGCTTTGGGTCTATGTAGATAACATTCTACATAGCAGGAAATTGCAGAATCTCCTGAAGAATGGAAAGACTGTAAATCTTCAGATTTCCCTTGTCAAGGTAAATCATGGTCTCTTTCTTCTGTTAACTTGTTTTGTGCATCTTTGTTAATTTCTCATTACTGCTTAAACTTGTTTGTTTCAGAATAAATTATGTGAATATGTGGGAAATTTCAAGTTAGGGGAGGGAGAAGGAAGAAGAAATAATAGTATCCAAAAATAGAAAATGTTACTTTTAAAACAGGGCCTCTATATGTAACTCTGACTGTATTGGAACTTTCTATGTAGACCAGGCTGGCCTAGAACTTGTAGAGATCTACCTGCCTCTGCTTCCCGAGTGCTGGGATTAAAAGCATGAACCACCTTGCCTGGCCTGTGAACAGGTTTTTATTACCGTTTGCTCTCAAACTCATGGTCTTCCTGCTTTGTATACCAAGTGCTGGAATTGCAGGTGTATACCATCAGAGCCAGCTTTACTACTTTTTAACTGGAAAAGGTAGCTACTGTATTATAATTAGATTCACACACACAGACATTTGATGAGATTTTTCTGGGGGAGGATCAAAGATAATCTGGATGGGAATTATTTCAGTTTTTTTTTATTAAAATCACAAAAGTCTGAACTTTTTTTTCAAATGCCATAATAATTGCTATTAAAAACCAGTACTAATGAGCACTTAGTACATGACAGGCTCAAAGGGTATAAGAATATAAATGGCCGTGTATAGATAGTAAATGGCAGTGTTGGGATTTGAAACTAGAAGTGTCTGGTTGTAGAGCTGTTCAGCCAGAGCCTCACAGAATAGAATGGAACAGACTAGAGAGCAAGGAAGTAGATCAGCTTCCAATAATTCTTAGACTATATCCTTCCCTGTGACACTGTCAAATAATAGGATCATTCTAAGTGGTCTTTTGAGGTAAGACTGAAAGATGAGTACCTTTATATTTAAGAAATGATAGAACTTTTAAAATAAATGTATGTTTATGTGAAATATTGCTTGAGGACCCATAAAACATGAACAAAAATATGCTTTAGGGACTAGGTGTAGAAAAGATTTTTTTTTAATTGATCTATTTAATAAAATATCTGGTGGATGCTGGTGATGTGTTGACATCTTAGGATTCAGCACATTTGCTATGACTTTTAAGCTAGTACTTACTTGAGTGGAAATGATTGTTTCATGTAGTTGCTAATAGCTTAGTACCTCAGACAGATTTGATTCTTAGATCTTGTATGACCAGGAGCAAATCACTGGCTTTATAGTAAATTTTGGGATCTGTCGGAATTTGTATCTGAATTTGAAATTTTGAAAGCTGGAAACAATGTGTCTACTGTATGGTAAAAAGAAAGGTACTCACTGGCATCCAGTTAACTGTGTAATAGAGGGATGACCTTGAAGTTTTGATCTTCTGCTATAGTGTTATATTATTTGTGTTTTAATAAATAAAGCTTGCTTGAAGATCAATACAAAGCAGCCACACTAGTCAGCCATACAGGCCAGGCAGTGGTGGCGCACACCTTTAATCCCAGAAGCCACACTAGTCAGCTGTAGAGGTCAGACAGTGGTGGTACACACGCTAGAGAGGAATATAAAACGAGAAGAGATAGGTCTCACTCTCAGTCTCAGTCTAAGGATTCATGGAGGCAGGTTCGTCCATTTTCGGTCTGAGGTAAAAGTAAAAGGCTGCTTTGCTTTTCTGATCTTCAGATCGAACCCCAATATCATGCTACACTTGCCTGTTCCTCTTGAGTACTGGGATTACAGGCATGCACTAGCACACTGAGTTTATGTAGTGCTGGTAATTGAACCTAGGGCTTTAAACATGTTAAGCAGGCATTCTACCAATGGAGTTACATCTCCTAGCACTACTTTGATGTTTTTAATAGGAAAATGTAATGACTATAATATGTACATAGGACACAGGATCATGACTCAAGTGCTACCTGATGACATCTGAGATAAGTTAAAGATTTAGGGTCTATACCTTTTCTGCCTATTGGGTTGCCTCATCCAGCCTTGACACAAGGGTTTTTGCCTAGTCTTTATCACATCTTATTATGCCATGTCGGTTGATATCCTTGAGATGCCCTATTTTTTATTTTATTTATTTATTTTTTCTTTGTAGGGAAACAGGAGAAGTGGATCTGGGGTAAAAGGGAGGTTAGGGATGAGGACTGGGAGGAGTAGAAGGAGAGGAGACTGTGGTTGGGATGTATGAGAGAAGAATAAATAAAAAGAAAAAATACTGACTACTGACTTTTAAGCTTTGCAAAGCCTCTTGGAATTGGATGGCACTAAACCTTTTCAGAATTGATATTGACAGGAGATGGATGTGTGAAGAAATTAGAACAGACACTTTATCTTTTATTGATGCATTAAGTAAGTGTCGAGTTCATGTTAGAGGTAAAAAGTCTGGTTGTTTCTCATCAAAATGGGAGAGAGATGATTGATTCTTTCACACTTTCTGAGAAAGTGTAGCTTCAGGGTAGTCATGACCTTTATTTCTTTCTTAATTCTCAGGTTATAAATGAGAGACTAGCAGAGTTCTCACTTGCAGGATCCCATAAGAATGTCTGTGCCATCCTGAGTTGCTGCCAGGGCATCCTCTCAACACCTGCCCTTGCTGTCATCTACACAGCCAAACCAGAGCTGATTGTAGCCTTGCTGAGCCACCTTTGCTGGTCAGTCTGCAGACAACCAGAAGGAGCCATGACAGCCCAGCTATTTGAAGTCATTCATCTGGCTCTTGAACATTACCTCAAGCTTCAGCAACAGCAAGCCAACCCCAGACGTGTCTTTGCAGATATGACTGGCCACCTCCTCCAGCCCTGCCTAGTCCTGAGACATTTGCTTTTTGGGGGCACGTGGACACAGGCTGGTCAGGGCCAGCTACGGCAGGTACTGAGCCGAGATATCAGGAGTAAGATTGACACCGTTCTTCGAAGCGGTGTTTTTCGACATGATTTACTCTCATCCTATAAAGAGGAGCTCTTGGAACAGCACCAAGACAATGTAAAGATGGGGGTTCTGAAGAGTCTTCTCACTCCAGTGGAAACTGTGACTAAAAGGCTGGTAGAGCCTGACTACATCAAGTCAGACCTGCGTGCTTCGGTTGTGGCAGACTCAGTGTCTTTATTGTACAGACTCTTTCTGGACTCATACCTTAAGGAAGAAAACCAATTCCTTTGTTTTCAGGCTCTCCCCAGGTTGTTTGGCTGCTTGCAGATTTCACACCTGCAAGAGGGACAGATGGAAACCCTAACCCTATCAGACTGGACCACAGAGCTTCTGGCTGTTGAGCAACTGCTAAATTCAGTGGCCACCACCAACATCTACAATGTGGCTGCTGACAGGATCCAACATGGGGAGGCACAGTTCCACTTCTACCGCCATGTGGCTGAGCTGCTGATCAACCATTCACAAGCACCTGTGCCAGCTTGGTTTCGCTGCCTCAAGATTTTAATGTCTCTAAATCATTTGATTTTAGAACCAGACCTAGATGACCTGTTGTCTTCAGCCTGGATTGACGCAGAAGTAACAGAATTTCGAGCTAAAAAAGCCCAGGAGGTACTTATTAGCACTGTCTTCCAGACATATGCCAGGCTCCGACAAGTGCCACGATTGTTTGAAGAGGTTTTGGGGGTGATCTGCCGTCCAGCAGCGGAGGCACTGAGGCAGCCTCTGCTTGCCTCAGGCCCCTCTATGGCTCTCTGTGCATGCCTCTTGGAGCTGCCACTGAGTCAGATCCTGGATACATGGTCCCTTGTACTAGAGAAGTTCCAGTCTTTGATCATGCCCTGTTTGCAGAGTGATACTGACATGGCTTTGAAGGCTTTGTCTCTGAGCTCTCTGCTGCACTGTGTCATGCTCAACATGCCGAGTCTGGACAACAGCATGCCTCTGCCCATCATCAGACAGACACAGTGCATAATGGAGAGGATGCTGAAAGAGCTTGTGGAGCCCCTTTTGGGCCTTCTCATGGACCTCTGGAGCTCAGAGTCTGAGCTGTGGCAACAGAAGGTGAGTGACTCTGCACTCTTACTCTGTTACACCTGGGCTCAAGTGGACACTACTCTCAGTCTGCACTGCAGCCAGTATCATTCTCTGGCAGGGCCCCTAGCTGGGGCTGCTCTGGATGTCTCAGCACTCCCTTTGTTGCTACCAGGTGTGGAAACACAGCTTTGGAAGAAGGTGGAAAAGTGTATAGTTCAGTCCAGGTCTCTCAGTAGGTACTGCTTAGAACAGCTGTACCTGCAGAAGGTGAAAAGGACTCTGATGCGGACTAATTCCCAGTCTAAAGAAGCCCTTCAAACCTTGAGAGATGACACTGCCTGCATTCTGGATTCTAGCAGAGACTGTTTAAGTCAGAAGACAGTAGTTGCCTGGGATAGGCAGGTGTCGACAATGAATGAGTCTACATATCCTGTAGCACACTGGCACTTGATCGTATCAAACCTCACAGTTTTAATACCCTACCTTTGTTTGGATGATGTGAAATATTTGGCCACTGTCCTGTTAAGAACTTTACCAGCAAATAAAGTGCAGGAAAGCTTGGCCCATGGTGAGCCATACATCACACTTGAGACAGTATCCACAGCCCTCCTGCACAGCCCTCTCTTTCCAGAGATGCAGTCCCTCCATTCTGCTTTCCTGATGTGTATTGCTGCAAAATGTTCTAGCATTCTGTGCTCTGGTGCCCATGGTGATCTGAGTCTTATTAGTGAGCAGTTTCCCTGGCTTCTTGAAAAGGACTACCACACATTTATGTCTCACTGGGAAACCAAATTAGCTAAAGTTGGACTTGAAGGTGTAGAACCAAGAGGAGAAGTTGCCCAGAATTTTCTATCTATGATCAAGAATGGTTTTCCTATCAAGCTAGATGAAGAGCAGCTAAAAGTCCTCCTGGAGCTCTTACAAGTCATCTCCACCCTTCACCTGGACAGCCTCATGCCATCTTACCACGTGCATTTTTTTTTCCTGTTATTCTCCATGGCTATCTCCACATTGGAGCATTGCTCTTCCCCACTAGCTCTCCAGTACTTGGTGACATGCTACCGACTCCTCGGTGGTCTGCAGAGGGGAAGAAATGCCCGCTCTGTGTTCAAGGTCATGTATGTTAGTGACATCTTTGAGGTTGTGCTGACCTCACTGTTGAAAGCCAGCACGGAATTTCAAGTTAGGGAGGATGACTCCAATTGGCTACAGCTTCTTCAAGTGTTAGGGATGTTCTTGGAACAGCTAATGCAGATGCTTATCCAAGTAAAGCTGAGCTTGGTGCTCAATTTTGGAAAAATTACTGCCTTCCTCTCAAGGTGTAGTAAGGGAGCTTCCAGCAAAGAATTGAAGATCCAGAGCCTTCGGTGCAGGCAACTGCTTCTAGTGGCTCTAACCAAGTTGTGTCAGAGTTTGGGGCCTTATGTTAAGGAGCGAAGGCAGCTACTGGAGGCATCAGCAGCACTACCTGAACTGTTGCAGCAAGCCATGATGCAGATGGGTGCCATGCTGAATCTCTGCCTAGTGCCTGGGACTACAGGCCGCCGCCTGCCTTCAGTCCTCCTCTCAGCTGTCCCCACGCTTTTAGAAGTAGACCTGAGCCAATGCCTTCGGGTAGGACAGCCCCAGATTTCTCAAGCTGTGGATACGGATAGAACATTGCCTTCTCACGTGGCCCTTTACCAGAATGTCTACATTCAGTTGCTGGAGGAGTTGCCTGCCCTGTTAGGAAATACTCAGTCTTTCCAGGCAGCATTGCAATTTCTAACCTTGTTCCTTTTGGCCCCAGAGCTCCATTCCAAGGAGAGCTCTGTTTTTGCTTCCATCTTTCATTCTGTGCAGAAAGTTCTTACAGGTAAGATGGTTTTTTTGCTTTTTAATTTATTTATGTGTATGGATGTTTTGCCTACATATATGTCTGTGTACCGCGTATACGCCTGGTGTCCTCAAGCCAAAGGATTGTGTTAGATTCCGTGGCCTTGAAGTCACTGATGGTTGTGAGCTGCATGTTGGTGGTAGGAATCAAACCTGGATCCTCTGAGCATTCAGCCAGTGCTCTTAACCACTGCAAAAATCTCTCCAGCCCCAGTAAGGTGTTTCTCTCTGAACTGATTCTGGGTTGCAGAGGCTTAAGTCAAAGGGACCTCCATGGCCAAGTTACCATGTTTCATCTCTTAAGATTCATATGCCAGTCACTTCAACATATCCTACTGGTGTGTGCCACAACTGGCCAGGCCTCCCCCCTTGAGCAGGGTGGTACCTGGCAGCTTCAGAAGGTACATGAGCAAGCTTGCACTGTCGATATTCATCTGGGACATCATTTTCTTTCTATATTGGCATGTGTAAGCAGTCACCTTTCCAACTTTCCCTCCCCTGTGCACACTATACCTTTCTAGTCTTCTCAGGTCCTCTCTTATTTTAGGGATTATTTTGTGTACATTCACACCTGTTTGTTAGAGGCACAGTCTTATATGTAATGGCTGACCTGGACTCATTATATAGACCCAGCTCATCTCAAATTCCACACCTAGATTTTTTTTTTAAGTCATGTGTATATTTGTGTGTGGGTGTGTGCACATATGAGTGCAGGTGCCTGTAGAGTCTAGGAGAGGGCTGCTTATTCTCTTGAGTGCACAGCTGTAAGCTGCCCAGCATGGATGCTGGAACTTAATTTAGATTTTCTATGTGAATGTTATGTGCCTTTAACCACTGAGCCATCTCTCCAACCCCCATTCATGGCTTAAGGGCTACTGTTCTTGTTCTTGGCCTTTAATTTGCTGTGGCCACAGTTGACTCAAATGGATCATCTCACCTGGGGGAAACTCCTCTATCAGGCCTATAGTGCTATAGATTATCTTTGAAAATTACATAAAATCTATTTTCCTCAGCACCCCATCAGTGTGCTCAATTACGTGTGTGTGTGTGTGTGTGTGTGTGTGTGTAGTAAAATAGACTCTTCTAGTGTCATCTCTGTTAATGAGTTTCGCCCTTTTAGGCAGCTAAGACCTCAGACACAGACTAGTGAGAGAGCTGATGTCTTCCAGCACAAAACTGACCCTGAAGTCATATAGATCAAAGGTTTAGGGATTCCTATATAGCCATTGAAATGTTATAGAAATTATTTAGAATCATTAAAAATATTCATGTTAAAAAAGTACAGTATGCCAGGTAGTGGTGACGCATGCCTTTAATCCCAGCACTCAGGAGGCAGAGGCAGGTGGATCTCTGAGTTTGAGGCCAGCCTGGTCTGCACAGTGAGTTTCAGGGCAGGCTCCAAAAGCTACAGACAAATCCAGTCTCAGAAAAAAAAATTACAAAATTATTGTGTTTGGAAGGGAGTGGTGATGCACGCCTTTAATCCTAGCACTCCAGAGACAGAGGCTGCATAACAAATTCCAGACCAAGGGTACATAGTGAGGCCTTTGAAAACCCAAACATAAATAAAATAAAATCTTAAAAAAGTATATTAAATATAGTCACTCCCCAAAGCAGACAAAGATGAATAGGCTGATATCTTCTTGAATCTAGTCAGTACATATCACAGGTGGCAGAGGCTTTCTTTTTCGTTTTTGGGGTTGCTGAGGGGCTAGAATAGGAATTAGGTAGTCTTTTGAAGTTAGACTTCATGGGCATGAGGGGCAAGAGTACATGCTGAGTTAATTTGCTTAGAGAAGTTACAAGGGTGCGGGACCTTTAGGAAGTGAAGCCACCTGGTCTGCCTGGGCCAGTACCAGAGCCGAGTGTGTGGACTGAACAGTGCTGCTGTTGTCTCTCTGTCAAAGACCACTCTGTCTGGATTCAAGTGTAAATGAACTAAAAAGACCCTGACTGTAATGGTCTATCTTTCTCTGTTAATAACTGAGGGATTGGTGCTTCCCTTACTGGAATTAACATAAAAGTTTTTGTTAAAGCTTTTGACAGCGTTCCAAGTGAGTGTCTTAAGATGACAGCATCTGAAGTTGTGGCAACTGTCAGTTAAGCAGAACTTCTGTATCCCCTTTCCCTACCTCTAGTGAGATGAGGCAGCTCTAAGCCTTACTTTTATATCCCTGGACCTGTGATACCCCAAACCTCTGGAACAGAGCCTCAGATACAGGGAGTCTAGCATGTTTACATATATCAACTGTCAGACTGTCTAGTGAGCAGTCTGGGGGACTACTAAGTGAGGTGAGGCCCAAGGCACTGGGAAAGGAAGGGAGCATAACATGAAGGTTGTTTTGAAGAACTGAAAGGTAGCAGTACAACAGCTTGTGGAGGTACCCCTGCCCTCCAGTGGTGCTAAGGGGGCTTTTCATAAACAGGAGCTTTTATGAAAAATGCATTCAGGCAATAGAATAGATTGCTTTAAGGGAAGCCAATGCTTTAGAGCTGGCCTTCTGTATAGGAGTATCAGTGCTCTGGCTGATTTGGGCTTCATACCAGACAGATAGCCATTGAGGCTGCAGAAGAGAGAATATGGGATACCAAAACCCAACCTGAATTTGGTATTGGGGCTAGAGGATACATGTAAGCCAAGTGAAAGTGGCCTTGAAGTCCAGCCAGGCAAGTGTGGGTAGTAAGCTCTCCTGGAGAGGCTCTCCAATAGGTTCCATGTTCTTTTATTTGCCAGTGACAAGCATCTTTTGCTGATGTGTTCGTTTTACTGATGAGTAAATTGGGGCTGAAAAAGGCTGTGAATCTAGGTCTCGGTCAGAGCCCCCAGTCTCTGTTCTCTTGATTGTAAATAACACAGATTGAGAGGCAGAATGTATTCTGGTAATGTGTGGCAGTCTGAAACTCATGAAGGATGGATAGGTCAATGTTGGAGGGCTTGAATATCCTGTCTTGGGCTTTATTGCAAGATTGTGGGTCAGTGAGGTTCTAGAAAACACCTGATAGACCTAGTAGACAGTCCCAGGAATGTCAAGGTTCTTTTTGTCTTTTCAACACTTCTGGGTGACCGGAACAGTGAGGTGTTGAGTGGGAGGACTGGGGATGAGAAATAAAGAAGATAAAAGCAGTAGCTGGGACCAAGAGATCTTACACAAACCAATGACTTATACCAAGTAAGTTTATTAAGAGATGCAGCACCAGACATACTATTTGCAGGGGAATGTATGGGAGTGGATGGCCAAGTTCAAAAGAGAGCTAAGTCAGACAGTCATGGCAAAGAGAACATTGGAAACCTTGGACATAGCTGCCTTAGGACTTTGGGTCCCCAGAAGCTGTAACTTTGACTCTTTTGAAGCATTGACTTCAGTTTTTTACCAGCCTTGCCAAATCCACTCCTGGACAAGGATACAGAGCTTAAAGTTCACATTGTTCTTTCCTTGGAGCCTCTAAAAAGTCTAGGTCAGTCTGACTCCTCCTACTTAGGTATTAAACACTCCACTTCTCACCCATCCTGATTGTATAAGGGAGGTAAGAGATAGAAATCGCCACGTGTCCGCTGTGTCCCGCACTAACCTGAGCGTATTGGCATTTTCTGTGTGCATACACTGTACATAGGTACAGCTCTGGGTAAGAGAAGAGCACCACAGTGAGCACCTGTTCCTCTTTTTTCACCAGTATTTGGTTGTACAATTACACACCTCAAATTATTGATGGTTACTTTGTAGTTCATTATCACTTATAAATCAGATCTTAACACTTTTGGTTTCTTTTCCTCCAGGTCCAGGCATTCCTGCACCAGTCACTCAGGATATTGAGCCTCACTTAGAAGCCCTGCTCACCCAAATGTTTGAGGCTGGGACAACAGAGCAGTTTGGGATCATACTGCAGTCTATTCTTCAGGGGCTGGACATCTCTCAGGCATGGAAGTCTGATCAGCAGGTGGATATCTTCTTTCTTTTGTTTGACTGCAGGTGAAAGGAAGGATTGTTTTGATGAATTTTTTTTCCCTTTTTTGAGACAGGGTTTCTCTGTGTAACAGTCCTAGCTGTCCAGAAACTCACTCTGTAGACCAGGCTGGCTTTGAACTCACAAAGATCTGCCTGCCTCTGCCTTCCAGTTAAAGGGATTAAAGGCGTGCACCACCACCGCCTGGCTTGTTTGAAATTTTATGTCACTTTTAAAACTAGACCGACAAATTTGGCTGAGAGTGGAAGCAGAGGAGGAGCCCAGCTGTGACTATTTAGCTTCCACTGAAGATTCTTACTTTTCACAGGGGAATTTCTTCAGAATTACAAATGTGTGCTCTTACTGCATGAGATGCTAAATATTATAAAGACCATATAAAAAAAAGTCTCTAAGTTCATTTCATCTACCACAGTTTTTTCAGAAATATTATTATGGGTTAAGAATGAAGATTAAAGAGTTGTTTGTGAGAAAATAAGACACATGTGAAAACATATTTGTGGACTTCTCAAATAATTGCTTACACACATTTTTTTGAAAAGTGCTTGATATGCCAAACAGCTGTAGACCAGAACTTAAGAATTATGCATGCACGATTGTGTGTGTGTGTGTGTGTATGTGTATGTGTATACACCCAAACACTCTGGGTATATAGCTCAGTTGGTATTGTATTCATAAGGTCCTGGGTTCAAATTCCAACACTGGAGAAAAAAAAGGAAGTATTTGGACTCTGAGTTCATAAGCCCCAGTATCTTTCCATTTAGAATGTCTTACACAGCTAACATGTCAGAATGATTGTGGGTACTGTTTAGTCAGGTGTTCCCAGTGGCACTTGAGGAAAAAGGCCTCCATAGACTGCTCTAGGCTGCTGCGTCTCCTCCTCACCCCCCCCCCCCCAAAGCTAGGGTCTTGCCATTGCAGCCCAAATCCTAAATTTATAGTCTTCCCGCGCCAAGCCTCTCGAGTACTATAAATATAGATGTTTACTACTATGTACAGTCTCATGTGAATTTTTGATTCTTGGTTACTGATAATACCTGGGGTTAGTTTTTGATCTGAATTAGAGGAGAATTAAGGGGTGATTATGAATTCTGGGGAAGGGCATAGGAATAGTTCAGACACATAGCTATGAGCCTGAGGACCTGTACTGTCCCTTCCAGCTGCCTACTGTACTTCCTATCTTTGGAACTTACATTATCTATCTTTATGGCACATTTGGGGCCCAGCTTTGAGAATGACTCTGGGTCTCTGGGCTTCCATTCAGTGAGTGACTTGGGGGAGAAAATAGCCCCCAAATTTTCGTTAAACAAATTGATTAGAGAAGGCGTTATAGACAAGGGAAACTTGAACTGAGTATTGAAGAATGAAGAATTTGAAGGTGTACATGGGATAGAAGTGTGTTTGTCTACTGGGGCAGAAGGTGTACAATTGTGAAGAAATGAATGGACTCCAAGCCTCAGTAGGTAAATGTATCCTATAGGTATGCAGGAAATTGAGAACAGTCAGACGTGCAGGTGTGTGCAGTCAAGAGAAGACAAGGAAAGAATGTCCAGGGCAGAAATTAGGATCTGGCTGGGGTTGTGTGGCTTCACAGTATTAAGGGAGAAAGAGGCCAGGCCTTTGTGTTTAGTAAAAGTAGGTCTTGTCTGGTTTAAAAGCATTGCCTGCTGTCACAGCATCTCACCCAGTATTTCTTTTAAACCTTTCCTTATGAAGTTTTTTGGTTTTTAAAATTGTACCTTATATGTATAAGTGTTTTGCCTGCGTTTATATCTGTGCACCTTGTTCAAGCCTTGTGCCTGCGGAGGCCATGAGAGGGCATCAGATACCTTGGAACTGGAATTAGGTGATTGTCAGCCAAGATGTCAGTATTGGAAATTAAACCTGGGTCCTCTGGAAGAGTAGTTAGTGCTCTGAACCTCTAAGTCATCTCTCCAGTGCCCTTGTGTAGTTCTTGATCAGTGGAGTAATAGCATCCTCTGTGTTTATATAACATCTTGGCAAAATGGGGTCTATGATTAGACCATTCTTTGTTTTCAATTCTGTGCCTGGTTTAGTAAGATACTCCCTGAGGCCCTATTTCTGCTGGAGTTATGCTCATCATCATTGCTTCCTCTCTGTGCACAAATGGGAAAGATGGCCCTTGCTCTTAGGACTCAACCCTGACCAGCCTTTGTCTCTGTCCCCAGTAACAGGGTTCCATTTTATTATCAGTCCCAGTAAGAGGATCTCTCCTGTGGGATTGGCTATTTCTGTTCTAAAGTTTACCCTTTTGTTTCAGGTGGTTTTGTGTGCCATTAGACTACTAAGTCTACTACTGAAATGCCCACTCAATGGAGAGAAGGCAAGTTTGCTATGGCGTACGTGTCCCCAGATAGTCACGGCTCTAACGGTAAGTGGTTTTTCCAAATGCACTCTCCAGCTCTTTTGTCATTTCCTCCTCTGTATGACAGTTAGTTTCTTGGGATCTGCCATTCTCTGGGTCTGTGGCCATTTCTTGAAGGTGGCCGTGAACAGGTAACCAAACCGCTTGTATTTCCTACCTGTGTGCACTGTTAGACAATAGCAACCTGGTTTGGAGGTGGTGAGTGGGTTGGGCACTGAGAACTATTAGACAGGAAATGATGAGATAAATGGCAATGGCAAGGTGAATACTGTGGGCCATATACTCAAAGTAGGTTAAGGAGGATCCCTGGGACTGATTCTCCACAAAATTCTGTGGTCAGTTAAGCACAAAAGGCGTGTCAGGAGGGGTACGTGTGTGTAAGGCATGTGATACGGTAAAGGGGAATACTTTTATCCTACTAAAGTATTGTGTTTTCATCTGACAGTGACTTGGTTTCATTTTCTACTACAAAAGCCTGGTTCATTGAGGCTGGTCTTAGTGTTTGCTCCCTTGATCGAACCTGCCTCAAAGGTTCTTACTTTAGATAGGAAAGAGCAGTACCTGTTTGCCATCATTACCATCCTGTTAGAACTTTTGCTATCTGAGAGAATTGTCATGAATCAGCATATTTCCAGAGTTTATGGGACTGAAAACTAGACTACATGTTTCCTCCTGTTTTCTAATTTGCTTCTTCGTCTTTTCCCTAAGAATCTGTAAAACCAAAAGACATGTGCTGCATATGTGTGTGTTGAGGAGACAGTGAAGAAGCAAGTTATTGAGTGGGATATGGAACATACTGATGGGTGGCCATAATGGTGACAGTGTGCATTGATTATATGTACCAGGTTAGAACCCTTGATGCCTCTAATGTGTGTGGCAGACAGGCTGCAGAGCCATGTTCCCTGCAGAATGATGCTCTTGTAAGATTCAGGACTCAAAGACCACCTTAGATACTTACTGTGTCAAGCTAGAAACCATAGGGTGCTCTCTAGGTGACCCAGGAATGTGGTTGGTGGTTTTTTGTTTTTTTTTTTTTTTCTCATTTGGCTCTTTGTGGGGGCCCACCACCTAGTTCCCAAATAATCATACATAGAGGCTTATTCTTACTTATGAATGCCTGGCTTTAGTCTGGCTTGTTTCTAGCCAGCTTTCCCTAAATTATCCCATCTATCTTTTGCCTTTGGGCTTTTTTTCTTTCTCTATTTCTGTATAACTTCCCTTTACTTCTTACTCTGTGGTCTGCTGTGTAGTTGGGTGGCTGGCCCCGATATCCTCCTCCTTTTCTTGATCCTTGATCTCCCTCTTCCCAGATTTCTCCTCCTATTTATTCTCTTTGCCTGCCAGCCGTGCCTGTCCTTTCTCCTGTCTTGCTATTGGCCATTCATTTCTTTATTAGACCAATCAGGTGTTTTAGACATGTAAAATAACACAGCTTCACAGAGTTAAATAAATGCAACGTAAAAAAGAATACAACACATCTTTGCATCATTAAACAAATGTAACACATCTTAAAATAACATCTCACAACACAGGGAAGTCCTTTATCTTGAGTCTATTCTCTTATTTTCTAGGAGAATAACTAAAAATCTTAACTAGACCTGATTTATAATCACAGGCATTTGGGACTGATGATCTGTTTTGGGAAAATACTGTTATGCATGTCTGACATACAGTTTCTGTGTAAGAAATAGGGTGTGTCTGATCCCTTTTAAGAACTAGCTTGTCTTCATGGTAGATGTACTCAGCAAAAAGTGAGAGCTGAAGCAGCCAGGTCTATAGGAGACTGATGATAGCCTCGTCCCTTTGGGTTGTTGATTGTCTACACCATTTCCTTGTACAGCGTAAGCAGACTACCTTTGTCACCTAGAGCTTAAGTGATTTCATTTCCTTGCAGGATTACCTTCACTTTCTTTTCTTTGTCCGTCCTCATTTGTAGCTGCAACACCGAGAGGCCTGCCAGGAACAGCCTGTGGCTCTAGTAGTGGTTGAGCCTGTTCTTGACGTCCTGGCTGTTCTGTTGCGGAAAGGGGAGGAGACCATCAGCAACCCTCATCACGTCAGTCTGGCTTTTAACATCTTGCTCACAGTCCCTCTGGATCACCTGAAGGCACTGGAGTTTGGCAGTGTCTTCCAGAAGATGCACAATGTGCTGTTCTCCATCTTACAGTGCCACTCGAAGGTGAGAGTAAGAGCACTGCAGCTGCTCCTATATGCGTTGGAAACGACAGCTTCTAGAGGGGCAGCAGAAGGGCTGGGGCTGCTCAGTGGTGTATGTGTGAGAGGCTCCTGTGTTATCCTAACTGCCAATAACAACAAAAGCAACAGACAGACAACTAAAGGAAAGCAAGAAAGGAAAACTCTACCGTTACAGACTTTGCTTCCTGTAATTTCTCAAATGTAAACATAGAAATACTTGACCCTTTATCTTCAGGTCGCTTGAGTTGTTCTTTGCCATCTGTTACTTTGAGTGGTGTCATAGTTTGTGTTTGGTAATGATGTACTTAAATGTCACTGCCTTGCTTAGATAAGTTGGGATTATAATTCAAGTGCTAAAGAGAGTGAGAGTTTATAGTTACTACTGTTTATGTTATACAGAGGCTAGGAACACAGATCTCCTAGAAGAGAGTATGGCCAGGTAGCATTTGTTGAGTATTGGCTGCTTTACCCCATAGTAAGTCTGTAAAGCATGTGGTAATCCTATATTTAGTGATGAGGCTACTGAGACTCAGTGAACATTTTGACCAGTGCTACTTGGTTGAGTCTGAGTGTTAGGCCAAACCTATTGATACCTTTGATTGGGGTTTTTTTCATGCAGCACTACTAATACATGTGACCAGTAGGAATTCATAAATACTAGGTATGCTCATGTACACACACATGTTGAAATGTTTCTAAGTATTTTGATAATCTAAGAATAGGTAATCTACATTTATGCTATGATGTGTGTTTGAAGGTCAGAGGACAAATTTTTGTGGAGATGGTTCTCTCTGTTCCTTTTATATGAAGTCTAGTGCTTCATATAAAATTATGGTTCCTATTGCTGTGATGAAACACTATGACCCAAAAGGGAGTTGAGGAGAAAAGGATTTATTTGACTTAGAGTTCCACATCACAGTCTGTCACTGAAGGAATCCAGGGCAGGAACCTGGAGGCAGGAGCTGATACAGATACCATGGAAGGTGCTGCTTCCTGACTTGTTCCTCATGACTTGCTCAGCCTGCATTCTTACACAACCCAGGACCATCAACCCAGGGATGATACCACCCACAGTGGTCTAGGCCCTCCCCATCAATCACTAATTAAAAAAATGCCTTGCAGCAGGATCTTATTGAGACATTTTCTCAATTGAGGCTTCTTCCTCTCTGATGACTCTAGTAGCTTCTGTCAAGTAACATAAAATTAGTCAGCATATTCAGGGATTGAACTCAGGCCACCAGACATGCATGACAAAAGTCTTTACCCACTAAATTATGTAATCTCCCCAGCAATGCCATTTTTAAGAGAAATGGTCTGTTCCAAAGACTTACAGCTGTCATCTTTGGCCCTGCCTCCTTTGTCACTGCGTTTGATAAAATTTTTTTTGACTAATTATTAAGGTTGTTATGAGACTGTATAATACAGTGCAGTACAAATCCATCCCAGTCTGAGAGTACAAATCTGGCTGAAAGTAAGATTAGCAAACTGACTCCTGGAAAGCTGCTAACACATGAGTATTTAGTGAGTTTCGACTTACGTATAGAGAACATCAACAGCATGATAGTAACAGGACTATGTGAGTGGTTAAGGCAGCTAACATTCACTGACACTGTCAGGTCTCATGAGGGAATTCAGTGCATGGTTTTAGATCCACATACATGTGAACACTCAGCTAAAATCCTCTTAGATGTATCTGGACGACATAGCAGGTGCCCAGCATTGACTAAACACCCAGGAAGAGACTATGATGAGAAAACTTCACGTTACAATTATTTCCTCATGATGACCTGTTATCTTAATTTTGCAAATGAGAAAAATGAGGCACACACAAAGGACAGATTTGTGAAGTTACCAAGGGTGTCATTGTGGAGCTAGGAAGTTTGGTCTGGATTTGATAACTGTTCATCAGTATAACAAGGGTTCAGAGAGAACTTAGAGCATTGATGAAACTCTGGGATGCTTTCCCCAAAATAGCCTCTTCTTAAACCTGTTGCAAAAAGCCAGTATGAAAGGTTTGCTGTGATGATGTCTGGATTTTGTTGTTGATTATACCAGAGAGAATTGTTCTGGTGTTTTACTCTTCTTTTTAGTTGAACACGTAGAACAGTGTGGTCCAGCAGATAAACATTTAATGGTGCCTGCATTGTCAGTATGGAACCCAATAGCCTAAGAACTAAGGTTGTCCTCTGATCTCTACATGTGTGCTATGGCATGCATGCAGCCACACTCCGTACATGACTATGCGTGCACACAGATAGATACAGAGATTTAAATGCATGTTTTGTCGTTTTAGCCTCATTTTTCTTTTTTTTTTTCTTCCTTTTTTTTTTTTAAAAAAAAAGGAAATAAAATTGTCTGGTGTAGCAGTGAATGCCTGTGATCTCAGCACTTGGCAAAGGCAGGAAGAATTCTGTGGGTTTGAAGCCAGCTTGGTCTACATGTGAATTTGTGATACACAGTGAATCTTTGTCTCAAAGGAAAACAAAAACAAATTTAAAAATAGAAGGAAGTGAGTGGGGAAGGGAGAAGCACTTGGAGAATGGTTAGACATTTAAGAAGATTAGGAGTGAGGTAACCTTTAAAAAGATTATGTGTAAGAGTTTTGTCTGCATGTATGCATGTGCATGCAGAGCTCATGATATTAAAAGAGGGTGTCTGATCTGGAGTTATACACAGATGGTTGTGAGCTCCTCTGTGGGTACTGGGAACCAAACCTAGGTTCTCAGCAAGATGATTTATTCTTAACCACTTAGTTATCTCTCCAGTTCCAGGAGCAAACTTCTTAAAAGAGTTGCTTGGTCTCAGTGTTCAAGGGAAAGTCTTAGGCAAGCTAAGACTTTCATTTGAGATGGTTTGATCCTCATTTTAAGTGAATTTATGTAATCTTTTTTTTTCTCTTAAATGCCAATTCTGTGTCTTTCTAGAGTATATTAGAACCAGTGTAGAATAAGCACAGACTTGGCAAATTTTAAATCAAGGTGCCCCACAAGTTTTGAAACATGTGCAATGTAGAACCCCCTACTTCCTAAAACGTTAAATCAAGAACTAAGGAACCAGATGTGAGCCAGATTTCAGCAGTGATTTTAGCAAAAGATAAGAGAAGTATCTGCTGCATAGCAGGGTTTACATCTCTCTGTATGTCCTGCCAGGTAAGCAGACAAAAGATCATTGACCTACTTCTGTGTTCCTCTATTACCACAGGTGATGCTGAAGGCCATTTCATCCTTCTTGAACTCGTTTAATATACTATTGTTTTCAGTTATGCGTGAAGGACGGCAGAAAGACAAAGGTAATTCAGAGTAATGGCTTCAGGTATAGATTTGAGTGTATTTATCATGTAGTATTTCTGACCGTAAATATTTCTGAAAATAAAACCACCAAACTGAGTTCACATAAAATATGTTCAGATTATCAAGTGAATATTCAAGAAAGAATTTATTGAGAAATATTTATTTTTATTTATGGGTGTGTGCACAAGTGAGTGTGTATGTGTGCAATGCTAATGCTGGTGGAGACCAGAAGAGGGTGTCTGCCACCCTAGAACTAAAGTTATAGGTAGTTTTAGGCCATCTGATATGGGTGCTAGGAATGGAACTTAGGTCCTCTGGACCTTAACCGCTGAGCTCTCTCCAGCCTCTTGTCTTAGTTAGGATTTTTATTGCTGTGATAAAACACCATGACCAAAAGCAACTTGGTGGAGGGAAAGGGTTTAATTTCAGCTTACCACTTCCAGGCTATACTCTGTCACTGATGGAAGTCAGGGCAGGAACTTAGTGGTAGGCACTGAAGCAGAGGCCATGAGGAATGCTCCTTGCTGGCTTGTTCTCCAGGGTTTGCTCAACCTGCTTTTTTATGCAACTCAGTACCAGCTGCCCAAGGGTGGCACTGTCTCTTGTCACATGGACCTTCCCACATGAATCATTAATAAAGAAAATACTATTAATAATTTGCCTACAGGAAATACTATGGAGGCATTTTTTCAGTTGTTCTTTTTCCCAACTCACTTTGGCTAAGGTCAAACTGACAAAAACAAGAACAAAACTAAACGCTACCCAGCCAGGGCACCTCTCAAGATAATTTTGTTTGAGACAGGATCTCACTATGTAGCTCTGGATGGCCCAGAACTCAGTATGTAGACCACATTGGTTTCAAACTAACACCTGTCCTTCTGACTCAAGATAATTTTTTTAACTATTTCAGATCATCACATTTTACTGTATTCCAAACTGAATGCATCTGGCATCTCTGACTGAAACTTGTTTTTCTGGAAAGAAGAGGGTGGAGGAGAAGAGATGAGAGGTCGCACACTGCTGACAGATGTTGTAGTTCTCCCTTTACTCCTCCCAGCTGTGAACAGCTAGCTGGTGGCATAATGAATTTATCTCTACCTCTCATGCATAGCACAGTGCATGTGTTCATCTAATTAATATTAAAAATCTACTGATGTGTAGGGCTGGTAACAAGTTCCTTCTCTTTGATAGCCTTTGCTGGTATATGACTGTCTGTGGTTCCAGTTAAGGTTATTTAATATCCTAAGATACTGTTCTGATGGTGATGTCTTCCCTAATGTGCCCAGGGAGGCAGACAGGCCAAGCAAGGTCTTGCTATGGACTGGAAGTAAAGTGTGGCTGCATGCTATGTCAAGCTTGTCCCTTGTCACATGTTCTGAGCATGCATGGAAGGAAACATGTGCTTCATGTTGACCTAACTTGGTTCTCTCTAATTCCAAGATTATTCTCTGTACTTATGGCTTGGCCCACAGGGTTTATCGGTTCTGTTCTCCTTATTGGGTTCTAGTGCACTCTTATGATTATGCATGAACTCAGTGACTGCAATAATCAGTCACTCATACTGTCTAAATGGAGATTGTTAGGTCATGAAGCACATAGCTACAGTGTGGGCCTTGTGAAATACTTCCCAAATATTAACAGAATTTCATAGAAATTGAATTGATTTAGAGAACTACATTTATTTTTTTTTAAAAATATTTATTTATTTATTTATTTATTATGTATACAATATTCTTTCTGTCTGTGTATATGCCTGCAGGCCAGAAGAGGGCACCAGACCTCATTACAGATGGTTGTGAGCCACCATGTGGTTGCTGGGAATTGAACTCAGGACCTTTGGAAGAGCAGGCAATGCTCTTAACCACTGAGCCATCTCTCCAGCCCCCGAGAACTACATTTATTAAAGATAAGATGTCTGTGTGTTTATTCTCAAAAATTACTGTCCATATTAAAAATTCAGTTTTATTGAGGTTTAATGTTTGCATGATGCACTTCATCTGTTTAATTGATAATTAGGAACAAAGTGAAGCCACACCGCAGCCAAAATATAGATTCTTTCAACTTGAGTTCTGTGTCACTGTATTAGGTCTGATCTTGAGCAACCACCAGTCTACCTTTGGTTCGTGAGTTTGCATTTTCCAGATTTATAAATAAAATTATAGCTATTACTGTGCTCAGCAAAGCTTGGGAGGTGCTATAGCATGGACCAGGGCTCCCTATCCAGTCAGGGCAGGAGTTGGGGAGCTCAGGAACTAGATGGTCCTACACTGACTAACAAGGGAGGACTGGAGAAGTAACTCTGGGAAGATTGGGGGAAGTGGGGAGTTGATAGCCTTATATCTTATCTCCATTTGCCTATGAAAGGAAAACCTTACACAATTTCTAAAACTGATAGAGGCAAAGACATACTTTAGAACTCTTTTAAATCCTCTCAATAAAATGTCTTGACGATAATCTTCATTTGATCCTGTTTTATAGCAATCTATTCCCTTTAAAATGATAGCAATCATAGATTTCATCCTTAAGTGAATTGATTTTTCTAGTTAGATATTGTATTAGTTAATTTTCTCATGGCTGTGATAAAATACTGACAAAGATGGCTTAAGAAAGGAAGGGTTTGGAAGCTGAAGAGGTGGCTCAGAGGTTAAGAGCATTGTCTGCTCTTCCAGAGGTCCTCAGTTCAATTTCCAGCAACCACATGGTGACTCACAACCATTTGTGATAAAATCTGGTGCCCTCTTCTGGTGTGTAGGCATACATGCAGGCAAAATGCTGTATACATAATAAATAAATCTTTAAAAAAAAAAAAAGAAAGGAAGGGTTTATTTTGGCTTACAGTTTGAGGAGATGCAGTCCATCATGGGGACAGAAGTATGGGGTGGTTGGTCACATTGCTTTGTAGTCAGGAAGTAGAGATGAATGCTGGTGCTCAATTGGCTTTCCTACTCCTTTTCCCCACTTTCAGCCCAGGACCCCAGTCATGGTATGGTGCTGTCCATTTTAGGGTGGTCTTTCCTGCCCACTTAATACTAGGTTGATGTTGAAAATTAGCTATCAGAGACCCCCACACACTCACACAAAACCACATGGACTTGAATATCATGTTTTTCACTGTTGTCGTGTTTGGACATATCTTTTACCATATTTTTGTGTACAGAATAAGCCAGTAGAGTCTGGAAAGAGTAGAGAGTTGCAGTCATTTCTACTTTATACTAAGATTGTAGGGCTAGAAGAAATGATCTTGCCATTTCAAAGCTAATCATTTTCCATCTGTAGGAAGCATGGATGACTTGCCAGTGGTCCTTGAGTGTGCACGCCTGGTGGAAAGGATGTACAGCCACATTGCTACTCGAGCTGAGGAATTCACCGCGTTCTCCCCATTCCTGGTGGCCCAGTATGTGACAGAAGCACAGAAGGTAAAAACGCAGACTGAACATGCTCATCAGGGGTTTCCATTCACAGTCTTAGAGCATAGCTTTTTACCAAAAATAGCAATGATAGGCTCACAGCAGTGGACTTTTCTGTACGTGTGTGTGTGTGTGTGTGTGTGTGAGATCAGTCTTATAGAGTTACGGATAGAACTGAGGGACGTGTAAGGGTCATTGGAGCCCCTTACTGAAGTTGCTTAGGACTCCAAGACTCCCAGGTCTCTGGTTCCAGTACAGACCTGGACCTGTTTCCTTTTCTTGTTATCCAATAGGCAAGTGAAATCTCACCCAGGGCCAAGAACTCTTAAGGATCCAAACCAGCAGAGCCTGGAAAAGAGGGGATTGGGGTAGTTATCACATTCATTTGCTCCTAGACACTCAGAGCAGACTACAGGGTAGACACACTGGGAATTTTGTTACTGCTGATCTTTGTTTCAATTTATATGGCTTTTGGAATTGTTTTAAATGATGAATTTATTATTAAGAGTTACTTGTTCACATATGTCCATGCACTGTTTTCAAACTTCCAGAAGCTACTGGTGCCCCATGGTCAGGCCAGTTTAGGACTATAAATGACTTTGGAACTTTACCTTGATTAATGAATGCCAGTGTGTCAGAGTCAAGTGAATAAATCCATTTGCTTGTATTTGTATAAACATGTTTACATGCTTTCTGGGAAATAGCGAGTCTGGTGGACTGAATTGGTACTGGGTCTCTTGCATGCATGGTAGTTGGATCTCTTGGTGGGCACTGTAGAGGAATGTCTAACTAGAAAAGTCAGCATTTCTCCAGGGAGGTTTGGTTGAACAGCCTTTCTAGATTGCTTCCTTCCTGTTTCAAGTAATTGTAACTGTTGAGTAACTTTTTACGTCACACCTTCTTGTCATTCTAGCAACTTTATCTGTGCTAGGGGGTGGGAGGGAGCAGCAGTGCTAAGTAAGTGCTTGAGAAGATACTTGTAGTGGTCCTGGAGTGACATGGGGACTAGTCAATTGATTTTCTTATGCACATATAACAGTTTTATCAAAGCTTGATATACTGTAAGCATGTGAGTCATTAACATACAAGCTTTTGATGAGAGAAAAGCTTGTACTTTTTAACTGGAGAATGAAAAGAGACATAGTAATTTCATTTTGCTGAGGTACAAAAAGGAAAGTGATAATTGGAACCTTGAAGTCATATTGTTCTAAGATTTACTTTATGAAATCTCTAGTCTCCAGGCTTCATTATTCATCTTTAATTTAAACTTGTCCATTTTTTCCTTTTGTTTTGTTTTGTTTTAATCTTGAAAACAAAAAGGGCTTGTGAGTTATTAAGGCCATTACATCCTGAAATCCATTGGCAGAAGTCTAGGTCTTTTGTTTATTTTTAAATTTAGTAATGAAAACACTCCATATGCATTAGAGACTGCTACTGAAAACCACAAATTCTCCCAGGCAGCATGTTTAGCTTTAATTAAATGCCCAAGAGTAAAGACAACCAGAAACATCTCTGCATTCATTCCTTGTGTTTCTGTAGACTAGATGTTGTAGTAGGACCTGTGAGAGACAGGCAGATTTCCTGGGAAGACCCTGTTGGTCAGGAGATGCTGCAGCCTACAGGCCTGCTTGTTTTGTCTGCTCTGTGTAGTGAGGAATCCTAATGAAAACAAAGAAAGATGTTTCCAGTTATTTGCTCTTTTACTTCCAGCTTAGGTTTCCAGCAGTCTCTCCATCTCATATTGCTAGCTTGGGATGAGTAGTGGTTAATGTTCATCCCACTCAATGAGTTTTGAAGCTGCTGGGATAAGTTTTCATTCATAGACCATTGATCCCAGCTGTAGAAAGTCTGAAGCCCAGGGATTTGTGGCTGCACCAATTTTATTCTGCTTACTGAGCACCGACGTTTTCAGCATGTTGCCTGTTTTGTCCCTGGTTTGTGCTTAGAGCCTTCCTCCTTCCTTCCCAGGTAACCTTGTACCCAACTGTGAAGAACCTGCTACAGGAGGGAATTTATCTCATTTTGGATCTCTGCATAGAGCGTGATATTCAGTTTCTGCGGGCCTCGCTACAGCCCGGAGCACGAGATGTCTTTAAGGAACTACACAGCGACTACCTCAAGTACCACAAGGCCAAGCAAGAAGGAGAGAAAAGATATACAGCCTAGGCCACACCACAGAAGCACAGTTCCTGGTACATCTTGCAGAGGCTTCATGGTTCAGAGTCATAGAGGATGTAAAGGCTTCTGAAATTCTCATGCACATTATCAGCAACCATGGGAACTCTTCCTACCACCCCCTGTCACCTCACGAGTCCCACTGTGTCTCACAGTGTATCCAACTGGTTTGGAACTTACCATATAGACCAGGCTGACCTTGAACACAGAAATCCTCTGCCACTTCCTTCTGTATGCTGGTGCTAAAGGCATGCACCACTTTCGGAATTATTTATTTTTATAGCTTTTTTAAATTTTAATCTGAGTATTCTTTAATATCCTTCTTCCTGGGATGATAAGGATTGAACCTGGGGCCTTAAACTTACTAATTTCACACTTCTGCCACTCAGCTACACCTTCATGCCTCAGGATGCCTTTTTATAACTAAGAGTGGCATAAGAAACCTGAAAACAGGTTTTGGGGTTGGATGAATTTAATGGAAAAAAATGCTGATCATTATGACTGTACCTAATGTCCTTTTCCTTTTTGCCTCTCCTGACTGGAAACTGTAGGACTGGTGTTTAATTCTGATACATGGGACTGTAGTTAAAGCCTGTTTGGATAATTCTGCCCTTTAAATCAAGTAGGACAGGGACACTCTTGTGCCTTCCCTCTGAGAATTCTGGTGGTGCTGGGGGAGCCCTGGATAGGATGGTATGTACCTATCTGGTAGGTAGGTGCTTCCAGCACAGAAGTCAGGGCTCTTACTTATTGCTGCTTCATTTTGAGAAGTTCATTATAAAACTTCCTGTTCGGTTCAAGAAATAATGTTAACTGTTCTTACTATCTAAACAGTGTATTTTGATGGTCTCAGTTACCCAAACAGCCTTTATTACCACTTAGGAAATGTCTTGTTTAGTCTCTTTGTTGTGTATATGTAGATGTATAAATATATAGTAAATTGATCAAAATGTGTTTTAATATTTTCTTTTGTAACAGTTGTCATATTAGAGTCAATAAACATATTTGGTATTTTTTAATTAGCATAGCTGCTTCATTTACTAAGTCCCCCATTGTCAGACATAGGATTCTTCTACACTTTCCTTTATAAATATCGCCCATGGCTTGATTATTTCCTAAGACACATTCACATAAGCTGTTTGTTAGTTTAGTTTTGAATACTATGTCTTGTATTTTGAGACAGGAGCTTATTCTAAAGCCCAGGCCGACCTTGAACTTGATCTTCCCTCTTCAGCCACGGAAGTATCTGGATAATAGTTATGTGCCACTGTAGTTGGTTGTTTTCTTTTCTTCTTTTCTTTTAACATATCACCGGTTAGCCTGACTAGAAAGTCATATTAGTTTTAATAAACTTCTATAAATATTACCCACTTACCCTCTAGAAAGCATACACATTGATTCTTTCTCCAAGTAAATCTGTCGCCACTTGATTTGTTCTACATAGATAGGGATTGTGGGTAGGCAAGAAGTTCTTCTGGTGCTGACAGTCACCAGCCCTTGGGTGCCTGAAGCATAGGAACTGGACTGGCAGACCCAGAAGTCTATGGCTTTAAGCCTAGAGAGCTGGAGACAGTAGGCCTTACAAGTCTTAGAATTCTGGATCTTGATCGTTAAGTAGAAGGCTTTAACTGCTGTGAGCTTTAAGCACTTGGCAGCTATTAAAATCCTTTGCTTTCGATAGCCATGAACAACAGGCGGTGGCATGTAACACTTGTTGGTGTTACAGCTCTTAAATGAGTCTTGAATACTGAAACCCTGAGCTCTCACAGTGACCAATGTTATAGCTCTCAGACCCAGGGTCTGAAATGCTTGACCTTTGACAATGATCAGTTTTATGCTTGTTCAGCCTCAAGACTCTAGGTGTTTAAGCCTTGAAAGCTTTTTGGAATTGTCAGTCCGTGTGTAGGGCTTGCAGCTGTTCCTTCTCAGCTCTGCACTGTCTCTGTCATCTCTGCCCCCTCCACTTCCCACCCAGGTCACTTTCTAGAACTCTTTAGCTACCCTTTCACTGCTATTGTTGCTGTTATTAATGACCGTCTTTGCCCCCACTACTGCTCTCCCTCTGCTTCCATCTCTTACGTTACCAGCTAGCTCAGCTGTTCTCTTACTGATACTACCAAAAAAGCAAACAAGGAAAGATTGCTTGAGCTAAGTATGATGGTGCATGCCTGTAATCTCAGTACTTGGTAGGTAGAGGCAGAGGATCAGGATCAGTTTGTCATTCTCAGAATTTTGAGGCCAACACGCATACTGCATGAGATCTTGTCTCAAAACAACAGCAAAAGACTGCTTATAAGAAACCTTCTGTTGGACACAGTCCTGATTACAACAGTAGGGTGCAACACAGGAAGGTGTCCTAAAGTCAACTGAATTGCCTGCAGTGCTTGTATATCCAGAAAAGAGATGTGGTAAGTGTGTTTATACCAGTTACAGGCCTCTGGCCACCGGAGAGGTGCTCCCTGACCAGTCTGGGTGAAAATAACTGCCGAAGCTCACTGAGCCTCACTGAGAAAGTTACTGTAGGGTAACTGATGTAACAGTCGTAGTTCTTTGTGGAGCTGGAGTTGTGTGCAAGAACAGATGTGATTGAATGTAATTTCCTCAAGGTATTCATAGAGTATGAGGTAGGTAGACTACCATAAACAGGGTTGGGCCGATAATCCTCTGCTCATGCCAGCTGGGTCCCAGGGAAGGGTCTAACAACTGCCAATTAGGGAATCAAAACACCCTGGTCCTGGCATCTTATTTAAAGGAAAAGTAAACATTGAAGAGGTGCTTATACTAAAGACCTTCATTTAACATTAATGGTGCTCGAGTGATAGTTAAGTGTTCCACTCTTAGCAAATACTTGGGGAAGGTTGGATCATTTTATCTGTCTCAAATCAATCTTCACCACCACCATCGTCATTATTTTGAGGTAAAGTCTCACATAGCTCAGGTTGACCTTGACCTTGCTGTGTTGCTGAGAATGACCTGCCTTCAGCTCCTGAGTGCTGAGATTATAACGCATGCACCCATATGGTCCTGGGGTTTGAACCTAGAGCTCTGCATGCTAGGTGATGGAGCTACAACACTGTTGAGAGTTTTTGTTTTAAAGATTTACTTTACTTGCTTTTACTCTATGAACAGTGTTTTACCTGTATATGTGTGTGTTTACCTTGTACATGCCTGCTGCCCATAGAGGTCAGAAGAGGGCATTGAATCCCCTGGAACTGGGGTGACAGCTGGTTGGTTGTAAGAGCCATGTAAGTGCTAGGAACTGAACCTACATCTTTTGGAAGAGTATCAAGTATTTTTAACTGCTGAGCCATTTCTCTAGTCCCACATTTTTATTTATTTTTTGATAAGAGAGCGATGTCATTTTCTTTTCAATTGCTTTAATTGCTCAGAGTATACATTTTATATTGCCTATTTAAGTTTATGATGTAAATTTTGTTTACATAATTACTTTCTTACATAATAATTTTTTCTTACTTAGACTATTTTTTCTCATTCACTGGCGGTAGAATTCATTTTGTAAAATCTCCTGATTCCCTCTTTCCATTCAGTCAAAATGTAGACTTTTTAAAAATGATTTTAAGAATAACTCATAAGAAAATTTCTTTCTCTCTTTGTTGTTTTTTGTTACAAGTCTTACTGCAGCCTAGACTCATCTTGAACTCCCTTGTGAAGTATACGCTGGTCTTGAATTCACCATTAGTTCCTGCAGTCTCCCTAGCGCTGAGTCCCAGTGGACCCCACAATATCACACCCCTGTTTTTCATGCTCTGCATGGAACAGATGGTATGAACTAGATATTTTGAATACCTATGAAAAAAACCTGTGTTTTATGCCCCACGTCTGATTTTATTTCCTGCTCTGACAGGACTTGAAACATCTTTGCATGACTGGCTTGTCTCTCCTCCCTCTGTTTAGGCCTGCAGTGCTGATTAACTAGAACTGAATTTGAGTGGACTGGTAAACTTGTGCTTCTCGCTGTGTCCTGACACATTTTGTTTTCCTTAGGAAGTTGCTGCAGGAATCTTCAAAAGAGGCTTGTTCGCCTGGAGATGTGGTACAGGGAATAATGGGTCTTTCAAGGCCTCCTGCTATAGGTGGAGCTGAAGCTGAGGTCTCTGGCCTTCTCTGCCCCCCAACTGGGTAGAGCAGTGCCTGATTTGTCCTCTATTACTGCTTCACCAGATGACATAGGCACAGCAGTTCCTCAGGTGTCCTGATGGTGGTGCTGCGGTGCTACTCAGGGAACTCTGACCAAAGACCCTGCCCTTGGAGGGGAATGTGATCTTGAGCCTCATCAACCATGCTATGCCAAAAGTGTGGGCCCCGACAGGTTCCCGTCCCGAAGTGGTTATTAGTGCCTCAGTCACTTCTCTGTGATCTTAAATTTTTCCAATCAAGTCATTTCCAGATCTGCTTTGCTGATTCAGAGGGCTGAAAGCATCTTCCAGTGGCACATGTGGAGGGGCTCAGCTGTCAGAGGGACCACCACAGAGACCTAGGCAGAGGGGCTGATGCTGGGCTCGTAACCCCGTAGACCTGCTTTAGCTCGAATCCCAACCCACTCAAGAGGTGCACGATATCCCTATATAAGCCAGGTGTGAGAACACCGTCCTGGTGCAGTGTTTACTTTCTAGCAGGGCCACTGACAATGAGGGACAGAAAAGTAAGTCTTGATCTGCCTGTGTGGAGTGGAGGTTGTTGGTCGAGAAGAACTGATTGACATTACTTGTCTTCCTGCTTTGGATATGTGATATGGGGCATTAGGTGTGAGGGAAGCTGGGGCTGAGAAGCCTCCATGTGGGGGATCCCCGATCTGTTTCTTTGAAGGCACCGCTGGGGCATTCTAGAATGTTTAGGGAGGGGGACACCAAAGAAGACACAGTAATTTCCTTCCCTCGGCTACACCGTGGGCCATAGTAGTAGTAGGTGATCTTGTGTCCTCTGCCGTCACCTGGCTCAGTTCCTCACAGTCCCCTTTTCTCTTCATGCCCAGCTGCTTCATGTTTTCAGTTGTGCTTTCAATAGCAGGTCACAGGGATTGCTCTGATTTGTTTCCAGCTGCCTTGTGCCTCCTGAGTTCACACACTTTATTTGAGACAGGATCTCATGTAGCTAAGACTGTCTTTGATTTGCTGTGTAGCCAGTGCCTCAGCCTCTCAAATGCTGGGATTACAGGCTTACACCAGAGTGCCCAGCTAAGCTCTCCCACTTCTGTTTTAAGACGCCACTGCCCAACAGCAGCTTTATCACCTCTTGATTCTCATTCTCTCGAGCATCTTCTAAATATTCTTTCTCTTGGTCTTTATTCCACCGTCCCTACCATCCTTTTTGCAGTGTGTGTGTGTGTGATAGGTAGGCAGTATGCAGTCTCAACAGATACTGTAATTCCTATCGTCCTAAGGAGCTTGTCTGAGTCAGTTGGCCATCTCCACTCTATAGCTCTTTTTCTGCCCTGCCAGCCAGCTCCAAATAATGACACAGATTATTATTAGCTATGAAATTCGGCCTATAGCTCAGGCTTGTCCCACTAGATCTTATAACTTAACTCATTCCTGTTCATCTACATGCTGCCACATGACTCGTAGCTTTTACCTCTCCTATATGTCTGTTCTTCTGTGTTAGGCTGGCAACTCTGCCTGCTTCTTTTTCTCTCTCTCTGCCCTGAAGTCCCTCCTGTACCTCTTCCTGCCTAGCTATTGCCCACTCATCTCTATTAAACCAGTCACAGCAATGCATCTTCACACAGTGTAAAGGAATATTCCACTACACCACTCTCTCCTCTCTGTATCAGGCCACAACCCCTGCCAGTTCTGCCTGTGATGATTATACCTATTTCCAGCCTCCCTTTTTGTTTCCTGTGGGCATGGTTTTTTGTTTGTTTTGTTTTGTTTTGTTTTGTTTTAATCAGGGTCTATCCTGGAGACCTTGCCACTCTGGCTCTTTATCCCAAGATTGGTACTTCTGGTCTCCTGCCATCAGGCACTAACAGAAACTTTGCATTTGGCCCTTCATTCGAGGTCCC